CCGAGCCCGCGCCGCGCCGCGGCCCACCGGGCCGGCAGGAGCCCCGCGACCCTCGGATCGCAGCCTCCGAGCAGAGCAGCGGGTGACGGCGCTGTCTTCACGCGGATCTCTAGTTTGATTGTGGCGTGCGCTCATCTGAACTCGAGGCCCGTGTTTGCAGGTCAGGCCGCCGGAGCCTTTGCTGCCCTTCTTTATTTCCGTGTAGGGTCTCTACGTGGCCTGCCCGGTCCTTGTCTCTCCGCCTCAGGCTCCAAATGCTCCTGTGATTACTGCTGTGATTACAGGTGTGCGCCACGACACACGCCTTAATCAACTAGTGACTATTTCCTGTTCATCTGAATTTTTTATCTAACCTACATCATCAGTGCTTTAATGTTTATCTTAGGGACATTAACATCCCCGCACCTTATCAAACATCCGAAAAATGAAAATATTATTTACTAAAGTGTTACAAAATTAGCATTTTGATTGACTTGTTTAATACATATTTGCTAATTACATTGCAAATTATCATTGATTAATATGTGCTAATGACAGCAACAGGATGTTAACATGCTAAAATTCTAAAAACTCATCTGTTCATGAACTTGAGTCTTTTGGAAGTTCTAGTTCTATTAAGTCAGGATTGAATTCCTTGGAAATGTTTCCTTTGTTCTTTTCCAAGTTTTAAACATTTTCTCAGAGTACTACTCAAGAGGCTGACATCTGAGGACTGTGGTTCAAAGCTGGCTGGGCAAGAGAGTCTGAGACTTCTCAATTAACCATCAAAAAGCACAAGTAGAGCTATGGCTCAAGTGGCTGAACACTAGCCTTGAGCAAAAAGCTATGGGACAGAGCCCAGGCCCCGAGTTCAAGCCCCAATACTGGCATGTGCCAGTGTGTGCACGCGCGCGCGCACACACACACACACAGACTTAGCTGGGTACCTGTGGCTCACACCTGTAATCCTAGCTACTCAGGAGGCTGAGATAGAAGGTCACGGTTCAAAGCCAGCTGGGGCAGGAGAGTCCATGAGACTCTTATCACCAATAAACCACTGGAAACCGGAAGTGGCCCTGTGGCTCAACTGGTAGAGCACTGGCCTTGAGCTGAAAAGCTGAAGGACAGGGCCCAGGCCCAGAGTTCAAGCTCCCACAAAAAACAAACAAACAAACAACAACAACAACAAAAAACCCAGAAACTCCTCAGAGTACCTGAAATGGCGCTATTTGTATTTATATTCAACTTTAACTGTAGCATGTATATGGCTATATGGTTTTGTAAATTGTGATAATTTACTAATAGGTTTCCTGCATTAAAACATTTGTATTTATTAAGTCAAAAGAGCATGTAGAATTGAAGTTTTTGTCCTTTAATTTTCTTGCCACAAAGGAGGCAGAAGAATCTTGACTAGTCCTTTGCAGTATTCACTAAAATAAACTGAAGTCACTGCACTTAGAGTTGAATGGAAAGGTGGGTTTGGAGTGGTGCTGAGGATCTGCGGAAGGACTGGGCAGAAGGCAAAGGAGAGGCCAGACCTCAGGCAGCAAGTGCTGGGCTTGGTGGGTGAGTCAAAGCCTACAGGAAATGCTTAT